CGTTGTTTTATGCTTTGTCTTCCCGTTTATGACTTACCTAAACATTATATCACCTCCCGCGTAAAGAAATCATGTATATATCAGCAAATCATTAGCCAAGCATAAATACAGAGTAATCAAACAGATTGCAACTAGCAATTTTTTACGCCAAGCTACAGCAGAAATGTATACCGACTTGATTTTTGCAGTCATACCTTGCTCTGAATTACATTACAGTAAAGTAATGACATGCGAGACTATCGCCTTCAGTTGGGGCATACTCCATCTTTATGACTTTACCAAATCATCAACTAAGTGAGAGGGTATAAAGTAATGAAAATCAGATGATAATTATAGGTCATTTAAGTCATCTGCCAAGAGAAGGTTTAACACAAAACAGCACTGTTGACAGCCGGAAAAGGTACGGAAGATCCTTGCACTAAGTCAGAAAAGGAAGCCATAACGGCCTCATACAGGTGTACATTACGATGGAAGAAGTAAAAGTAGACTGATCAGCCCCAGCGTAATAAAAGACTTCTATCCTTACAAATTTGCTGGCTCAATTAAATTGGACTTAAAGGTGTCAGAAGCCATCTGATAAAAAATATCTTCACAAGGACATTCTTGGCTCAAACGGTGCATAGTTTGATAGACTCTCATTCTGTTCTAAACTAAAGTACAGTTAGATAATCATTTTCAGCATTAAAATACTCCATGGTTACGACTTAATCAACTCATTAAATAAGGAAGAGATCACATCGATCAATGGTTCTGTCAAGCCATTCCAAAACTGTTAATTTTCACGATTAAACGACCCTACCTTGTATCTGGGTGTATTACTAAAGGCCAGGCGTCGAGCTTCCTCCGTAGTTTCGCAGACCAGTGCGTTGCCGCAGACAAACTGCAAGGCACGCTTGATTGGTGGCGGATCGTACTGCAGTACATCGACGACCAGCTTAACGTTTCGAGGTTCCTTCAATTGCCTGAAACAGCGAATAGCCACAAGGACTTACTGGAGATGACTGAGAGGCAAAGAACCTACCTCAATTTTTCACTGATTGGCTTAACGTCGATGTAGTCCAACGGTAGAAACGTCTCGGGTTCCACTCGCTGTTCCTTCATGTACTGAATGCACTCGCGGGCCGTCTTCTCCGTGTCCACCACGATCGCGTTCATATACTTGCCTATCACTTTTGTCACGGCTAGCAAATACCGCTTATGTGCCGGTTGACAGAGATCGACAAGACGTCCGTACTAAAAAACAAATGGCTTTTATGAAACAGAGGTAAACCACAGCACAGTGAGAACGAACATTACAGCATGGCTAAAGATCTGTCCATAACAGATTATGCTGAATGATAGAAACTAGCTACTGTGCTACGTGCAACTTCATGTTTGCTAAAGTTTGTTAGTTAAATGGGCCGGTAGCTGGTTAAATGTACGGAATTCTCCAGCGGTTCTATGATAAAAAACAATGTAAGAAGTACATAAGAAGCGGTCAAAGGGAAGCGCGAAATCAGCTGCCATCAAGCTAGTCAGAGCATTTACTCATGAATTATCCATATGTCTATTTTAACAACATAAATAAGGACCGCTACCTTGTAGACTGAAAGTTGCGCTGGACTCCGAATCAAGAAGTTAAGTCAGTGGTATGGCCCGCAACTCGCCCATGGTATCTTATGACCGAAAGCTCACAGAGTAATCTACTTCTATGAATCTGTTATACCCCATGAAGGTTAGGGAGACGCTGGCTAAAATTCAGAAGTATAGAACCCAAAACGAACGCTGAATATTTCCTAAAAGACTTCCAGAAAGAAGGAAAAAATGGAAAGAGGAAAGCTATCGTGTTTGCCTGAACAACACCCATAAACCAGGAGATGCGACTGGAACATTGACCCTGAACGGCAACATAATATTTGTGGCCAGCAATTATGCAAGAATGTCATCGACAGGCCAATTAATGGACATTCATGTCACGGAAACCCAATGTTCTCATCTGCTGGCTATCTGGCGTGTCACCGGGTTGCGGACAGAGTAACCACCTCTAGATATGGAAATTAGCTGACAGAAATAAGCCGTCGAGCGCGACCAAACCAATATCGCGTGGCTGGGCTGGAGCTTGACAACTTCGATCTTCAGAAAAATTCACAATGCCTAATGGCAGTTTTATGTCGATGAGAAAGCGACCAGCACGCCTGAAGGAAAAAGGGCGAAAATGGCACTAATGCCTTGCTGCTAGATATCGGTTCATAAAAAGGTAAAGAAACAACTTCGACTAAAAAACAGTGCGTAACTGGGGGATCCGCCTGTAGGAAATTCCGTAAGTCACAGTCAGCCCTGTGTGACAAAAATTCATTCGCTACGATAACACGAATAAAATGAGCCTCAGTATCTTGCACGCCTCTCTACTCGACACATGGCGGCGGTTGACGAGAGAGAAACTATAAAGATTCCCAAATGAAAGTTCACCATCTGGTAAACATACCAACAACTGCAAAACACTGGTGACAGAAGAAACGTTCAATCATTTCATTAATGAAATCACGGATGACTTGCGACATCTTTGGCCTCTGCGAAACACGACGGTGGAAGATGAGTGGCACACGGAAAAACGGGAGTTCAATGCTACAAACAGGAGTGGCGCAAATACCACTGGAGTAGTCTGATATGTGGTCAGCAAAAACTGCTCCTCACAAGTGGTCTTTCGCGATGTTAAGACAAAAAGACTGAGACTGTGCGTGCTCTACCTCCAACCGAACGAAAAGTGGATGTTCAATATCTTCCACACCCATGCTACCACAAGTACAGCCGACGAGGAGGTGAAAGAACTCCATCAAGAACTGGAACAGGCATAGGACCCAAAGTTCTCGTATACCCTCGTTACAGGAAATTTCAATGCCAAGGTCAGGCGGAGAAGGGTTAGTGAATGTTCATCTAGATATAACAATGGAGAGACAAATCAGCGGGGAGACAGGCTGGCGACCATGAACGAAACGAAGTATTTGGTTTAAGAAGAAGACTAACGGGAGGTTCACATAGTTGCAGGAAACACGGCGATGGAAAACGAGACCGATTTTTCTGTTCGATAAAAACCGCATCATCCAAGATATAATAGCATTAATATCATTTATAACACCGGCAGTGCTCACAGAGTGATGCAAGCCAGGATAAGAGGATCAAGAGGAAAGCATTACAAATGGCAAATCGCGGACAACCACCTAAAATATTCGACGAGACGGTGCTCAAAGCGCAAAAGTTGTTGCCTGAAAAGCAGCTGCGACGACAACTACGATAACTTCGACGAGACAACGAGTCACTGCGTAAGGTCAGCCAAGGTGGCAACATCGGAGAGGGAAAGGAACGATCTCTAAAGACAGAAGTTTCTATGGAAGAGGAGGAGGTTGAAGAGAAATGGGACTGATACGGCAGAGTAATGTATTCTCTATCAGATTTCTGGACGATAGCTGAAGGAGGACTCAGAACTTTTGATAACAAAAATTAGACAAAACAGCAAAAGACCACAGAAGCCTCAGAGCAATGCATGAGAAGGTTAGCACTTTATCGGCTCAGTCGGCCTTTACGCAGTTGAAAAGCAGGGATATCGCATTAGGGTATAACAGAGCTGAGATGCAGTCTGTGTACGAGGACTTTAATACCCGGCTCTTTCCGTCAAAGACTCATGCTCTCCCATAAACACCACTGCTTAAATCCTGGTTAAATCTGTTGCTGAACGCTTCAGGGAATGAATCATACAGAACAAGCGTAACGATATTTAGGAAAATTCTTCTCCTGCAGCGAAGCGACTCTGAAGGCCTCAAAAACTGTCGACCAATTACACTTCCGTCCAAAACCTACAACACCTTTCACCACATAAATTTCACCACATTTCATCCTTTCACCTACAACACCTTTCACCACCCTTTTCTTTCACCACCTACAACCTTTCACCACATCAATCTTGGAATTTACACAAGACACGATAGGGTTCGAACGGAAGATGCAACAACTGGGAGAAGAATTTCACACCATCAGACTAGAAGTTAGTCTATGGAGGATAAAATGGATACGAAAAAAAGCAAATTCCTTATGGGCTTTGTATATACTAATAGCAAAGAACTGGAAGAAATGACTACTATAAAAACTTCTGCCATTGGGTGCACCGTATGAATTCGTCAGAAGTTGGAATCTGCAAAAGAAGGACGATGGCACGGGCCAGCTGTAACCGTATGAAATTACCGATACTGGACAATGAGCTGCAAAAATCAGCAAAGAATGAACAGTTCCTACCCGTAATGATCAGTGGTACTGAAAGTTGTTATGCCAGTAAAGCCGAAAACGAAC